CCCCGGAGGCTGCTGCGCCTGTGGGGGCGCGCCCAGCACCCGCTGCTGGTGAGGGGCCAGGAGGACCTGGCGCTGGGGCGGGGGGTGGCCCAGCACCGCCTGGTGCTGCAGCCCCGGCGTCTGCGCGTGGCCCAACAAGCCCGGCTGCTGCTGGGGCGAGAGCTGCTGCACCAGCAGGCTCTGCTGGCTCCCCATCAACCCCGGCTGCTTCGGCACCATGGGCTGCCCCACCGCGCCCGGCTGCGGGGCCGGCGCCGGCGGCTGCTGCTGCCCCAACAGGCTGGGCTGCCCCACCATGGCTGCCGGCTGCATCGAGCCTTGGCCCATCGCACCGGGCTGCTGCATCGACGTCTGCGCCATGACGCCGGGCTGCTGCATCGAGGCTTGTCCCATGACGCCTGGTTGTTGCATGGACGTTTGGGATATCAGAGACGCTGAGGGGACCGGCAGGCGTGCCATAGCGCCCGGCTGCTGCATCGACGCCTGTGCCATGGCACCCGGCTGCTGCATTGAAGCTTGTCCCATGACACCCGGCTGCTGCATCGGTGTCTGTGCCATGATGCCCTGCAGCTGCATCGAGGTCTGTCCCATGACACCCGGCTGCTGCATCGACGCCTGTGCCATGACGCCCTGTTGCTGCATCGACGTCTGTGCCATGACACCCGGCTGCTGCATCGACGCCTGTCCCATCACACCTGTCTGCTGCATTGACGCCTGTGCCATGACACCCGGCTGCTGCATCGACGCCTGCGCCATCACGCCCTGTTGCTGCATGGACGCCTGTCCCATCACACCCGGCTGCTGCTGCAGTGACACTTGTCCCAGCATGTTCTGCTGCTGCAGTTTCTGGGCCAGCTGCATCCTCTGGAGCTGCCTCTCCTGCATCATGCGGCTGTCGGCAGCCAGCCCGCGGAGCGCGGGGTTCCCGGCGAAGAAGGCGTTGGAGGTGCCGGGCACCGGGGCGTTCCCCACGGCTTGCTGACCCATGAAGGACAGGCCCTGCTGCACGGCCATGGACACGCCGCCCTGGGGCAGGCGCAGCCCCCCGGGCTGCCCCGGCTGCTGGCCAAGGCCTTGCGTGCCCACCACGGCCCCCGTCGGCTGCTGGACGCCGTGCGCCGAGAGCAGCTGCCCGGGGAGCTTGGACATGAGGCGGGGGCTCTGCGAGGGGCTCAGGGCCATGACGGCCGAGGCCTGGTGCTGGTGCTGCTGCTGCTTGTTGCGGTACTCGGCCATGAGGTTGGTGTGCTCCTTCTGCTGCTTCCGCACCTGCCAGGGACGGTGGGACGTTAGCGCCAGGGACGGCACGGCATTAGCGCCGGGGACGGCACGTTCACACCGGGGACAGGGCGCCCGCCTGCCCGCAGCGCCCTACCTGGTCCAGCTGCTTCTGGATCTTGCTCTGCTGCTCCGTCACCAGCTTCAGCTTCTCGGCATCGGCCTCGGGGAACTCCCGCCCGGCTTTCTTGGCAGTGCGCTGCTTGGCACAGAGGGCCTTGCGCGACTTGCGGTGCGCCCCGATCTGCTCCTCCAGCACCTTCAGCTGCATCTGCAGGAGCTGCTGCGTGTGGAAGAGCCACTCCTCGTACTGCCGCTGGTCGGCCTCGTCTGCGGGAGCGGGGAGAGGGCTCGGATCAGCAGGGACCCTGGCTCTGGAGTAAGCCTGGCCACAGCCCTGCTCAGCCCAGCCTGCGTGGGCAGGATGAGACCTGGCCAGCGCTGCCCCGGCCCCCGCCCGATGCCTCGGTACTCACTGATGACGCCCTGCGCGAAGGTGGGTGGGTTGGGGCGAGCCTGGGTCGGGTCAGTGCTGCTCCGCTCCTGGCGGAGAAGGGAGTGTTGGGGACGTGCACCGCGCCGTGCCCCCTCCCCAGTGCCCCCCCCG